CTCGTTGCCAAGGGACCCCCGTTGCTAGGGACCCCCCCGTTGCCAAGGGCCCGTCCCCGTTGCTAAGGGGAAGTGCTACCCCCCCCCTCCCCTCACGCGCTCACCCCGCTCCTGAGGCGCTCGGACCCGCCCCCACCCTCCTCGCGTGGTTCCGCCCGCCCGGCCGACCAATCAGAGGGCGTAGAGCGTCCCGGCACTGCCCAATGGCGCAGCACTTCCGGGTTCGGACGCACAGTGTCGGGGGGGATAACGAGAGGAATGTTCCCGGGGTTTGTTCACCGGCACCCCCTTTACGTCGAGAGTGACGTCACGCCGACGCGTACTGCCCCGCGTGACGTCACGCCGCCCCGGCAGAGCGCGGGTGGGTTCTAAGGGCAGGGGCTGAGGGGAGGGGGAATGTGGCGGGTTCCCCAGTCTGAGGGAGAAGGGAGTTTTTGGGTCTCCTGAGGGGGAAGCCGGTTCCTGGTGTTCCTGAGGGAGAAGGGAATTTCTGGAGGGAAAAAGGAATTTCTTGTGTTACCAAGAGAGAAGCCGGTTTCTAGTTTTCCTGAGGGAAAAAGGAATTTCTGGGTTTCACTGAGGAAGAAGGCAATTTCTGGGTTTTCTGAGGGAGAAGCTTGTTTCTGGTGTTTCTGAGGGAAAAGGGAATTTCTGGGTCTCCTGAGGAAGAAGTCAGTTTCTGGGTTTTCTGAGGGAGAAGCTGGTTCCTGGTGTTTCTGAAGGAGAAAGGAATTTCTGGAAGGAAAAGGGAATTTCTTGTGTTACCAAGGGAGAGGCAGGTTTCTGGTTTTCCTGAGGGAAAAGGGAATTTCTGGGTTTCCTGAGGAAGAAGTCAATTTCTAGGTTTTCTGAGGGAGAAGCTTGTTTCTGGTGTTTCTGAGGGAAAAGGGAATTTCTAGGTCTCCTGAGGGAGAAGCTGGTTCCTGAGGGAGAAGGGAATGTCTGGAGGGAAAAAGGAATTTCTTGTGTTACCGAGGGAGAAGCTGGTTTCTGGTGTTCCTGAGGGAGAAGGGAATTTCTGGAGGGAAAAAGGAATTTCTTGTGCTACCGATGGAGAAGCCGGTTTCTGGGTTTCCTGAGGGAGAAGGGAATTTCTGGGTTTCCTGAGGGAAAAGGGAATTTCTGGGTCTCCTGAGGGAGAAGCTGGTTCCTGGTGTTTCTGAGGGAGAAGGGAGTTTCTGGAGGGAAAAAGGAATTTCTTGTGCTACCAATGGAGAAGCCGGTTTCTGGGTTTCCTGAGGGAGAAGGGAATTTCTGGAGGGAAAAAGGAATTTCTTGTTTTACCAAGGGAGAAGCCGGTTTCTGGTTTTCCTGAGGGAAAAGGGAATTTCTGGGCTTCCTGAGGGAGAGGTGGATTTCTGGTATTCCTGAGGGAAAAAGAAATTATTTTTTTTTTCTGGAGGGAGAGGGCCGTTCCTGGTTTTCCTGGGGGTGAAAGGTAATTTCTGGTATTGCTGACCCAGGGAACAGCCGTTGTATTCACGCGGTTTGAAACCATAACCCTGATTTTAGCCTCTTTCTTGCAGATCTCTAGCCATGGTGGAGGAGGAGAGGCGGAGACCGCTCCTCCGGCTGGTGCAGGAGGGAAGGCTGGACCTCCTCCGGGATGAGCTGCTGCCGGACGACGCGCTGGTCCCAGCGGTGCAGAGCTGGCGCTATGGACGCTTGGGAGACACCCTGCTGCACCACGCTGCCCGATACGGGCACCGGGATGTCCTCTCCTACTTGGTAGAGGTGGTGGGGATGGACGTTGAGGTGTTTAATAGCGACTACAAAAGACCCCTCCACGAAGCGGCCTCCATGGGCCATGGGGAGTGTGTCTACTACCTCCTGGAGAGAGGGGCGAGCGTAGACTGCTCCCGGCAGAGCGCGGGTGGGTTCTAAGGGCAGGGGCTGAGGGGAGGGGGAATGTGGCGGGTTCCCCAGTCTGAGGGAGAAGGGAGTTTTTGGGTCTCCTGAGGGGGAAGCCGGTTCCTGGTGTTCCTGAGGGAGAAGGGAATTTCTGGAGGGAAAAAGGAATTTCTTGTGTTACCAAGAGAGAAGCCGGTTTCTAGTTTTCCTGAGGGAAAAAGGAATTTCTGGGTTTCACTGAGGAAGAAGGCAATTTCTGGGTTTTCTGAGGGAGAAGCTTGTTTCTGGTGTTTCTGAGGGAAAAGGGAATTTCTGGGTCTCCTGAGGAAGAAGTCAGTTTCTGGGTTTTCTGAGGGAGAAGCTGGTTCCTGGTGTTTCTGAAGGAGAAAGGAATTTCTGGAAGGAAAAGGGAATTTCTTGTGTTACCAAGGGAGAGGCAGGTTTCTGGTTTTCCTGAGGGAAAAGGGAATTTCTGGGTTTCCTGAGGAAGAAGTCAATTTCTAGGTTTTCTGAGGGAGAAGCTTGTTTCTGGTGTTTCTGAGGGAAAAGGGAATTTCTAGGTCTCCTGAGGGAGAAGCTGGTTCCTGAGGGAGAAGGGAATGTCTGGAGGGAAAAAGGAATTTCTTGTGTTACCGAGGGAGAAGCTGGTTTCTGGTGTTCCTGAGGGAGAAGGGAATTTCTGGAGGGAAAAAGGAATTTCTTGTGCTACCGATGGAGAAGCCGGTTTCTGGGTTTCCTGAGGGAGAAGGGAATTTCTGGGTTTCCTGAGGGAAAAGGGAATTTCTGGGTCTCCTGAGGGAGAAGCTGGTTCCTGGTGTTTCTGAGGGAGAAGGGAGTTTCTGGAGGGAAAAAGGAATTTCTTGTGCTACCAATGGAGAAGCCGGTTTCTGGGTTTCCTGAGGGAGAAGGGAATTTCTGGAGGGAAAAAGGAATTTCTTGTTTTACCAAGGGAGAAGCCGGTTTCTGGTTTTCCTGAGGGAGAAGGGAATTTTGGGTCTCCTGAGGGAGAAGCTGGTTTCTGGTGTTTCTAAGGGAGAAGGGGATTTCTGGAGGGAAAAAGGAATTTCTTGTGCTACCGAGGGAGAAGCCGGTTTCTGGTTTTCCTGAGGGAGAAGGGAATTTTTGGGTCTCCTGAGGGAGAAGGGAATTTTTGGGTCTCCTGAGGGAGAAGCCGGTTTCTGTTTTTCCTGAGGGAAAAGGGAATTTCTGGGTTTCCTGAGGAAGAAGTCAATTTCTAACTGAGGAAGAAGGCAATTTCTGGGTTTTCTGAGGGAGAAGCTTGTTTCTGGTGTTTCTGAGGGAAAAGGGAATTTCTGGGTCTCCTGAGGAAGAAGTCAGTTTCTGGGTTTTCTGAGGGAGAAGCTGGTTCCTGGTGTTTCTGAAGGAGAAAGGAATTTCTGGAAGGAAAAGGGAATTTCTTGTGTTACCAAGGGAGAAGCCGGTTTCTGGTTTTCCTGAGGGAGAAGGGAATTTTGGGTCTCCTGAGGGAGAAGCTGGTTTCTGGTGTTTCTAAGGGAGAAGGGGATTTCTGGAGGGAAAAAGGAATTTCTTGTGCTACCGAGGGAGAAGCCGGTTTCTGGTTTTCCTGAGGGAGAAGGGAATTTTTGGGTCTCCTGAGGGAGAAGGGAATTTTTGGGTCTCCTGAGGGAGAAGCCGGTTTCTGTTTTTCCTGAGGGAAAAGGGAATTTCTGGGCTTCCTGAGGGAGAGGTGGATTTCTGGTATTCCTGAGGGAAAAAGAAATTTTTGTTTTTCTGGAGGGAGGGGGCCATTCCTGGTTTTCCTGGGGGTGAAAGGTAATTTCTGGTACTGCTGACCCGGGGAACAGCCGTTGTATTCACGCGGTTTGAAACCATAACCCTGATTTTTGCCTCTTTCTTGCAGATCTCTAGCCATGGTGGAGGAGGAGAGGCGGAGACCGCTCCTCCGGCTGGTGCAGGAGGGACGGCTGGACCTCCTTCGGGATGAACTGCCACCAGATGACACACTGGTCCCAGAGGTGCAGAGCTGGCGCTATGGACGCTTGGGAGACACCCTGCTGCACCACGCTGCCCGATACGGGCACCGGGATGTCCTCTCCTACTTGGTAGAGGTGGTGGGGATGGATGTTGAGGTGTTTAATAGCGACTACAAAAGACCCCTCCACGAAGCGGCCTCCATGGGCCATGGGGAGTGTGTCTACTACCTCCTGGAGAGAGGGGCGAGCGTAGACTGCTTGAAAAAGGCAGACTGGTAGGTCACTGGTTGGCTTTGCCGTGGGTCAGAGTGATATCTGAAAGAGGTTTGGATGCAGAAGGTGGGAATGTGACTGCAGGAGTTTAGAATAGTTTAGAATAATGGAATTGCACCATGGTTTGGGTGGGAAGGATCATCTAGTTCTAACCACCCTGCCCTGGGCAGGGACACCTCCCACCAGCCCAGGTTGCTCCAAGCCCCCTCCAACCTGGCCTTGAACCCCTCCAGGGATGGGGCAGCCACAGCTTCTAAAAAGGAATTTCTTGTTTTACCAAGGGAGAAGCCGGTTTCTGGTTTTCCTGAGGGAAAAGGGAATTTCTGGGCTTCCTGAGGGAGAGGTGGATTTCTGGTATTCCTGAGGGAAAAAGAAATTTTTGTTTTTCTGGAGGGAGGGGGCCATTCCTGGTTTTCCTGGGGGTGAAAGGTAATTTCTGGTATTGCTGACCCAGGGAACAGCCGTTGTATTCACGCGGTTTGAAACCATAACCCTGATTTTAGCCTCTTTCTTGCAGATCTCTAGCCATGGTGGAGGAGGAGAGGCGGAGACCGCTCCTCCGGCTGGTGCAGGAGGGAAGGCTGGACCTCCTCCGGGATGAGCTGCTGCCGGACGACGCGCTGGTCCCAGCGGTGCAGAGCTGGCGCTATGGACGCTTGGGAGACACCCTGCTGCACCACGCTGCCCGATACGGGCACCGGGATGTCCTCTCCTACTTGGTAGAGGTGGTGGGGATGGACGTTGAGGTGTTTAATAGCGACTACAAAAGACCCCTCCACGAAGCGGCCTCCATGGGCCATGGGGAGTGTGTCTCCTACCTCCTGGAGAGAGGGGCGAGCGTAGACTGCTTGAAAAAGGCAGACTGGTAGGTCCCTGGTTGGCTTTGCTGTGGGTCAGAGTGGTATCTGAAAGAGGTTTGGATACAGAAGGTGGGAATGTGACTGCAGGAGTCCTCGTTTAGAATAATGGAATCGCACCATGGTTTGGGTGGGAAGGATCATCTAGTTCTAACCTCCCTGCCCTGGGCAGGGACACCTCCCACCAGACCAGGTTGCTCCAAGCCCCCTCCAGCCTGGCCTTGAACCCCTCCAGGGATGGGGCAGCCACAGCTTCTCTGGGCAACCTGTTCCAGGCTCTCACCACCCTCACAGCAAACAAGTTCTTCCCCACATCTCATCTCCATCTCCCCTCTTTCAGGGTCAAACCCTTCCCCCTCCTCCTAGGGCTCCTCTCCCTCATCAAGAGTCCCATCCCATCTCTCCTGGAGCCCCTTGAGGGACTGGAAGGCGCTCCAAGGTCTCCCCTTGAGGGACTGGAAGGGGCTCCAAGGTCTCCCCAGAGCCTTCTCTTCTCCAGGCTGAACCCCCCCAACTCTCTCAGCCTGTCCTCCCAGCAGAGGGGCTCCAGCCCTCCCAGCATCTCCGTGGCCTCCTCTGGCCCCACTCCAACAGCCCCATGTCCTTCTGATGTTGGGGACTCCAAAGCTGGGTGTAGTACTTCAGGTGGGGTTTCCCCAGAGCGGAGCAGAGGGGCAGAATCCCCCCCCTGGCCCTGCTGGCCACGCTGCTGGGGATGCAGCCCAGGACTCCCATGGCTTTCTGGGCTAAATTCCAACCCTATCACTGATTTTCTCCCTGTTTATCACAGAAATTGTAAATCACTGCTTCATTCCCAGATCTAATTTAAAAGCTTTCATCTGCATCCATTCATTCTTCCCCATTCCCTCATTTGATGGGAATCCGTGATACTGACTCACGTTTCTGTGTCCTGGTCCTTGGAAACTGAAATAAGAGGATAAAAATTAAGTTTCACTCCTGTTTCCCCCCAGCAAACAGAGCCCCTCAGGTCAGATTTGCTACTGATGGAATAGCAGCAGCCTCAAGAACAACCCAGAAACAACTGGTTCCTTCAGGGCTTTTGCTTGCCTGCCGTGTGGGTGACACATAAAGCAAAGGATGAGGGAATGAGAATTGAGAATAAAAAATAAAACCTAATCCACAGACAAGAATCAGGCCTGATGAATGTCGATTTTTGCCTCTTAAGGAGGGGGATTTCTGTGGGCCACCTCGCAAAAGAAAGCCAAAATTCTCCCCGGCCCATAAATTGAAGCCCTGGGGAGGTTGTTTTGAAGCTGAACAAACACAAAGGCAGCATCCCAGCATCCTCCTAATTCCGGGCTGTGCCAGCGTCCTGCTGACATCAGGGGCAGCAGAGGGAGGCAGAGATCTCCTGCCTTGTGTGCAGATGCCTGTGTGAGCCTGGTTTGCTTTGATGGGCCTGCGGTGTCCTTGCTTCTGCAGATTAAAAAGGGGGAGGTCCATGCTCGCTAGGGTGTGTGGACAGGGAACTGCTGGAGAGGGCACAGCAGAGGCTACAAAGATGATTTCTTCACTGTGAGGGTGGTGGAGCACTGGAACAGGTTGCCCAGGGAGGTGGTTGAGGCCCCTTCCCTGGAGATATTCAAGGAGAGGCTCGG